GTTAACCCTTCTTAAGGGTAAAGAAATTGAACGAAAGAAATAATACAATTTGATATGTTATTTTAAATATTAATAAAAATATATTTAATATTTTAACGTATAATATACGTAATAATTGATGTAATAAAAATTAGAGACATTAAAATTTTAAATAAAGTTCAAAAATTTCAGAGTTTAATTTAAATTAATGAAACTTTAATTCTATCAATTTTTGATAATATTTTGATTTTAAATCTTTATAATTCGAGAAATAATCGCATTTAATTAATCAAAATCTTTTATTAACATGTTAATATTAATAAAATTATATTTTATAAATACTTGTGAATTTTTATCAACGAATATCATTATAGTGGCTTAAAAGATGTCATAGTCTTACAAAATCGTAACGCACAGATGTTTCACACAAGTGTTACGGTATTGCCTGCAAATTAATATCATAGCATCTGTTGTACAGATGGTTGAACTTGAATTTTTATCCTACCTCATTCTTCATTTTTATACAAATCTAGATTAATACGCATACAAATTCAATTACAAATCCGTAACTACGAATGTTTATGCAAATTCATATTTTTCATCGTTACAATTATAAAAATCTGAACAAAGATTAAGATTAATCAGATAAATTCATCGTCTAAATATCATAATTATCCACTAATAACTTCCTTTCGACAAATCTTCCTATTCTCAAACAAATCATTGGTTGCATCATTACATAGTGAATCTCACCTCAAAAATCTTGAAACAATTCATTCAATCATAATACCATGTTACTTTCGTATCTTTTCGAATATAACCTCAAGAATCTTGAAACAATTTATTCAATCATAATACCATGTTACTTTCGTATCTTTTCGAATATAACCTCAAAAATCTTGAAACAATTCATTCAATCATAATACCACGTTACTTTCGTATCTTTTCGAATATAAGAGTGAATTATTAACTCGATATAATCTCTTTAGTAAAGCGACGAAAATAATCCTTAAAGGGTTTATGCGCAACAAAGACGTTTCCACAGCCTCGATGAACACCGTGGTCACAAAGCACGGCGCGAGATTACGCGCGTTACCTCAATACGCTTTGGAAGCGCGGTTCTTGACTCGCGTGCACGAGTTAATAAGCGTGTTTACAATGCCGGCAATCCCGACCTCCATCCTCCGTTGGAAATTGCCACGAGGTATCCTGCATGCGAATACGATGCCGCATAGCATGACTCACGAGCGTTGTACGAGAGAGGAGCCGACCCAGGAGGCCCCTCGAGCCTCGAATGCCAAGGATTTGTCCTTGCATCCGTGGCCGAAGATCGCTAGTGACGATCACGATCGAGAAATTATAGCGGTTTCTGATGTTTACTCCAGATTCCAATCCGGTATTCGGTACACGATGCTCTGGATGCGGAATGGAAACTTGTGATTCTTCCTCTTGAATGATGGTATGTCGCAGATCAGTGTCTCTCAATCACTTTTCTTCACATCGAGTCGAGTAATTATTTCGATGATAATTTTTCTTATTGAATTTGTTTTTGAATTGGAAATAGATATTTTGGAATATAGTATTGATTTGATTGGAGGAATATCGAAGATCGTTTTGAGGATATAGTATGTTGAAATTGACTTGTGATGATGATCTTTCTTTATATTAATGTTTTGAATATTATTCTTATTTATGATATAGGAACATGACAATTGCAAAATCGATGTTGAAGGCATTAAAAGAAAGCAGATAATAAAAAGAGGTCAGTTCTACTCGAAGCTTAATCTTCTAGAAATTATGCTGTGGTTTCAGAAATATTTCAAGTGTGATATCAATTTTAAAAATACTAGTATTTCTGTTTATAATTTCGATATAGTACATATTATATTATTAAACGATGGATTGCAATAAAA